AGGAGATAGATAAGGTGATCAGGCACTCCCATTTCTTTAAGGACTTGCCATACTTTTTTGTAGTCGACACAGTCAAAAGCTTTTGCGTAGTCAATGAAGCAGAAGTAGATGTTTTTATGGAACTCTCTGGCTTTCTCGATAATACAGCCCATGTTAGCAACTTGGTCTCTAATTCCTCTGCCCCTTTGAAATCCAGCTTGTACTTCTGGGTTTTCTCAGTCCACATATTACTGAAGCTTACCTTGTAGGATTTTGAGCATAACCTTGCTAGCGTGAGAAATGAATGCAATTGTATGGTAGTTGGAGCATTCTTTGCAGCTGACCTTCTTTGGGATTTGGATGTAAACTGATATTTTCCAATCCTCTGGCCAGTGCTGAGTTTTCCAAGGTTGATGGCATATTGAATGTAGCACCTAACAGCATCATCTTTTCAGATTTTAAATACAGTAGTTTGACTGGAATGCCATCACCTCCACTGGCCTTGTTGTTAGCCAGGCTTTCTAAGGCCCACTTGACTTCACTCTCCAGGATGTCTGGCTCTAGGTCTGGCTCTAGGTCAGCAATCACGCTATCTGGGTTGTCCGTGGCATCCAGATCTTTCTGATATAATTCCTCTGTGTATTCTTGCCACCTCTTCTTGATGCCCTCTGCTTCTATTAGGTCCTTACCATTTTTGCCCTTTATCGTGTCCATCTTTGCACAAAAAGTTCCTTTTATATCTCCAATTTTCTTGTAGAGATCTTCAGTTTTCCACTTTCTATTCTTTTCCTCTATTTCTTTGCATTGTTCATTTAAGAAGGCCCTCTTGTCTCTCCTTGCTATTCTTAGGAAGTCTGCATTCAATTTTCTGTAACTTTCCCTATCTCCCTTGCATTTTGTTTCCCTTCTCTGCTATTTGTAAGGCCTTGTTGGACAGCCACTTTGCTTTCTTACATTTCCTTTTCCTTGGGATGGTTTTTGTTGCTGCCTCCTGTACAATGTTACGAGCCTCTATCCAAAGTTCTTCAGGCACTCTGTCCACCAAATCGAGTTCCTTAAATCTGTTCTTTACTTCCACTGTGTATTCATAAGGGATTTGGTTTAGATTATACCTGAGTAGCCCTGTGGTTTTTTCTACTCTCTTCAGTTTAAGCTTGAGTTTTGCTATGAGAAGCTGATGATCAGAGCCACAATCAGCTCCAGGTCTTGTTTTTCCTGATTGTATAGAGCTTCTCCATCTTTGGCTGCAGAGAACATATTTGGTCTTCCTCTTTTCCTGCTGCCTGCGATGTTTCCCAGCATTATTTCCTTTTCCAGAAAGTCTTGCCTTCTCATGATGTGCCCAAAGTAGGAGAATCTCAGTTTTGTAATTTTTTCCTCCCAAAGAAAATTCAGATGTAACTAATGCATATGTCACCACAGCCTGATCAGACATCTCCAGGAATGGGTGCAGCTGGCATACCAGTTTTAACACTCCCCGCCACTGCTGAGACTTAAGCTTCCAGGCTCAGGCATCAGTCCATGAATATATCAAAGCTGTGAGCCTTTGTTGTCAGGTGGAGTGTAACCCCATGCAGCACAAATTGAACCTCTATTCCCTGATCTGCCTTACAACTGATGAGGAGCACCTTTGTCTTTCCTAGATTAGGTTTTAATCTCTTTGTCCTCACCCAGACCATTACCGATGAGACCCTGATTTTGAGCAGAAATAGAGGCCACCTACATACTGGTGATACCAAGCTCCAAAGCTCTGGACAATTTCTCCTAGCGGTTTTACTTGTATGTTCAATAGCATGGGGGAACAAATCAGAATCCGGAGGGACATCACACAAAGTGTCACATGGGAGTGTTCCAACAGCAGCTTCTGAGTTCACTCTTCCAGCAAAGATCAGACCCCACTGCAAAACAGTGCCTCCAAGTCCCATTCCCAGAAAGACAACTGAAAAGGATACCATGGTTTCAAAAGGTGCTGAGAGGTCTAGCAGAGCCAACGGGGACATACTCCCCCTGTCCATTTCCTAGCATAGGTCATCCATCAAAGCAACCAAAGCTGTTGCCATCCCATAACCAGCTCTGAAGCCAAACCGAAATGGATCTAGATAATTCATTTAATCTAGGAACACTTGGGGTCCAGAAACTACCATGCACTCCAGCACTTTGCCTAAAAACAGATATTGAAGACTGGTCAATAATGATCTAAGAGTGGAGCCCAAGAATAAAGGGTTAATAAAGGGTTTACAACTGCCTCCTTTGAACATGCCAGTAGCCTGCCTTGCTGCAAGAAAGCATTTAGCACTCCTTTTACCTACTCAGCCAGTCCCCCTCTGGCTGCTTTTCTAAACCAAGAAAAAAAAGTATCCAGAATACATGTGTTGGCTCTCACCTCTCCAAGGATCCTGTCCAAATCCTCAGATTGAACTTAATGCATTAATACAGGGTGAGCAGGAGCCGAAGTTACATCTGCAAGACCTGTATCAACTACAGCATTCAAGTCAGAACACATCCAAATGAGTTTGTTTGTAAAGTGCCCTGCAAATTCATCACAGTAGTCACCATCTTGTTCTTGTGGCTGAACATGTAATAGTTCAACTTTGATCACTAAAACAGCTCTGCTGGGAGGTTCTGAATAAGGGCAGCAGAGAAGAAGAATTCCTTTGCTGCTGCCAGTGCTATGGAATATGCCTTTAAATGGGAGCTAGTCTGTGTCACTCAAATCAATGTCCCACTTGTTCCATCACCACCAACTTTCTAGAAAACCATTCATTCTATGGGAGGGGATGCTGAGGAGTGACTGTGGTTCTGGTCTTAGCCATTTCCCCATTACAGAGGTCAACGAGGAACATGACGGGATCGCCTGCCACTATGACAGAAAAATCCCCAAGAGCTGTTAGGAAGCCATTCCTGTAGTCTTCTGAGACAGATCATTTTAAATTGGCCCCTACCCCATAGAGGATGGGAGTTGTTCAGATCTGTTCTGACTTGGATGTGGTCGTTGGTATAACTGGAACTCAGGTCAGCGGATGTAACTGGAACTCAGATTAACTCAGTTTAACACCAGGTAATGATTTGCCTAAAACAAGGGAAGAAAGCCCTTCTACACCCAGATCCTTTCATGCAGAAAACTAGATCCAGAGTGCACTCTTCTACATGAATGAGGCCACTTGGGGACAGATCCATGGTTGTTCATGGAAGGGATGAAGTCCTGAGCTGCTCCTGATAAGGGGTCTCACTATGTGTGTGGAAGTCCCCCAGGACAAGCAACTGAAGGGACTTCGGCATCACCCCCAAGACTAACTCCACCAACTCAGGAAGGGATATGTACTTTCAGGTATATACACTCAAACCCAGAAGACTGTGGGACAGGGCTCCTGGTGAGGAGGTCAGAGTCACTGTAGACCACTGTAACTCCACTTCTCTGCACCCCAGGTCTAACTTGCTGTTTCATAGAGAAACCAGATAGGCAGAACTGAGAGAGATCAACTCTTCCAGCTTCATCCAGCCATGCCCCTGTTGTATAAGCCATGTTGGCATGCTCATTCAGGATCAGGTCCTAGATGGCTAGTGTTTTTTCTTTTACTTGTTTACTTAATAAAAGAACAAAAAATATTCCCGTGCATCTTGTATACATATACAACTCTTGGATCCACGATGCATTTCTGCACTTACTGGGTGCTGCCATCATCATGTGAAGAGCATGGGGAAGGAACTGATTGTGTATTGCTGCTTGCCTTTGTCTGGTGGTTATTGGTCTGGCTGAGGGTAGGTAGTCATACTAGAAGCAAGCAAGAAAATTTCTGTGTAGATTATAGTAAAGGTGTGAATAGAGAAAAGCTATGGATTGTTTTAAAAGAAAGTGGTGTGTCACGCTTGTCATGATCCATAATCTGTACTCTGGACAATTAGGACAGAATAAGAAAAAGAAGAAAACAGGACACTTTCCAACTAGCAAAGTATAGTTTATCTATTCAGTATGAATACAAAATGTATCATATGAAAAGCTGAATTAGGTTCAGAAGAAGGAGCACTGAAAATTGGAAGAAGAACATTAGTAATGTAAGATATGCAGATGATACCACATTATTGGCAGAAAATGTCAGTGATGTGAAAGAACTGTATATAAGACGTTGAAAGAAAAAGTGCCACAGCAAACGTATAGCTGAACATGAAGAAAGAAAGAAAAAATGGATACAGAAGCTTACAAAGTTAATTTAACTCTAATACTGGCAATGAAGAAAATGACATTGTTTAACTTTTTATATATCTTGACTCAATAATTAACCAAAATGGAGACTAGAACCAATAAATCCAAAGGACATTGAGGCTTGGAAGGGTGGTTATGAAGGAGGTGTCTAAAAATGTCTACGTGTAAGGAGGCTTTCACTTAATCAGCATCTTATCCCTTTAGCATGCAATAAATTAGTTCCTAAAGACTGTAATGAACAATTAAAGCAGAAGATTAATGATTCACAAATAATATTGTCTCCAAGCTTAATAAAAAAGAAAGGAGAAAAGGTGCATATTAAATCTGAAAAGTTCATATCAGCAACAAGTGGAACCTGCAACAAAATGTTGCAGTGTGCTTCTCTGCAAGATTCCAGGTTTCTATGCTTTGTTCCATTCTACTTTACTTTCTCAAAGTTCCATGCAGAGCAAGTGTGATCAGATCTCTTTGAACTATATTTCCATCCCTTCTCCTGAGTCTTACATCCCTAAAAGTTTTTCTGTACCCCATAACATGAGAGAGGTATCAAAAGGATATTCTCCTGTTTGTACTGATACCTCTCTCTTGTGTGTGGACAATGCTGATTTGGCTACATGTAGTTAGGAATAACAACTCAAGGAATTAGTTGCAATGCTGTTTAGCATATATAATGTAGAACTGAGAATTATTTTGCCTGATGACCACTAGATGGCATTTCAACTATAACTTTTGACAGACTGAGAGTAAGAGTTTTTCACCTTCTTATACTTTTCCAGAATCAGAATTCATAAAGCCACAGAATACTTATTTTTTACTTTCAGGGCAGTATAGATGACAGTCGTTTCTGTCAATATATGAAAAGAGAGGTTATTGTACAGACAGATTGTGCAAATATGAATGCAACCACTGATCATGTCCTAAAATATAACAAATGCATCCTCTTCAATAATTGCTAAGTGGGAAGAGAGTTTATATAGCTGTTTCATGTGGAATACCAGGCAAATATCATGAGTATCTGGGCAAAGCACTTTGGAAATTAGTTTTTAAATATAGTCTCCTTTCAGAAGAATTAAACAATATTATTTATAATTAGATGGCACACCAGAATGTCTTTCAACCTGATGTTCAAAATACAAGATCCCTACCACTATAGTTTTTAATTTTATACCTTTAAAACACCAGGGAAATCAACAGCTTTTCATTAAATGCCAGATTTTTTTCCCAGTTTGGCAAAAATAACTGTAGGTACAAATTTGGTACATATCGGCAACTTGAAAAGATAGTATGAAAATATATTTAAAACCTCTGGAACAGTTGAAAACTATGCTTTGTATTCCCTCTTTCCTTTTTCCTTCTCCACATAGATGTACAAAGCTAAGTCATATGATTACCCACAATATAAATTACAACACTCCCCCCCCCCACCTGAAACAAGGCTTCCTTGACTAAAAAATGTTTTGTGGACATTTTTGGCACTTGATTTTACTTTTTTGTGAGAACTGTGAAAAGTTTTATAAGAAGCAGTTTATAAATTCTCTAATTAATTAATTAATTTGCTAACTAACTAACTAACTATCTCATTTCTCCTAGTTTTGCGAAATGATTTCCGCTCCAGAGATGAGTCGTTGGGCAGGGCCCATTATCGATGTTCTGTTGGATTATGTGGGCAATGTACAACTTTGCTCGCGGTTGAAGGAGCACATTGACAGTTATGAAGACTGGTTTAATATTAAAACCAAAGCAGGTTGGTTAACATAGTGGGTTGCTTCGCACCAGAATAAAAATCATTCACACTGCCATTCAGTGGCAACTCACTTTTGCTAACCAGCAAATGTCGTCTGCTGGGCTTCTAGTTCAAATGTCAGAGAATGCTACAGTTAGCTGATTTTTGTTTACTTGCTAATTCATATGAATGGCAAAATACTTCAAGTTTCAAATGCTCATGCATAGATCTTGGTCTATTAAACTGAGAACCTTAGTTTTGTTGCTATACCTGGAATGTTTAAATTAAATAATGGGATAGAAAATTTAAAATAAATATATATGCTTCCATGAAAAGAAGGTTTTGGATGGCCACTTTGGATCCTTTGAGTTGAAAAATAGTAAAATGTATTTATTCATTTATTTACAAGATTTTTTTTTAGCCGCGCCACTACCAGTGGTCTCTGAGCGGAGTACAATATCAAAACTTTTAAAACATTAAAACCATTAAAAGTAGGCAATATTATAATAATAAAGGTAAAGGTTCCCCTTGACATTTAGTTCAGTCATGTCTGACTCTAGGGGGCGGTGCTCATCCCAGTTTCCAAGCCGTAGAGCCAGCATTTGTCCATAGACAGTTTCCATGGTCACGTGGCCAGTGAAATTAGACACGGAATGCTGTTACCTTCCCATCATGGTTGTACCTATTTATCTACTCGCATTTTACATGCTTTCAAATTGCTAGGTTGGCAAGAGCTGGGACAAACGATGGGAGTACACTTCATTGTGTGGATTTGATCTTACGCCTGCTGGTCTTCCAACCTTGCAGCACAGAGGCTTCTGCGGTTTAACCCACAGCACCACCATGTCCCTACATTATAATAATACCCTATATTAAAAGCAGTCATTATAAAACATTAATATTAATAAATCCTGCTGCTGATATGGCCAGCTAAAGAATACTATTTAATTAAAATGCTGGCTAAACAAAAATGTGTTTGCTTGGCGCCAAAAAGCCAAAAGTGTTGGAGCCAGGCGGATCTCTATAGGGAGGGTGTTCCAAAGTTCATTTATCTTCTTGTTTGCCTTTTCCCCCCAGAATTACCCAGGTCACTTGTTCACCTCTGTCGGATCAAAGTTCGAAGTGTGATTGGGAAGAATCGTATTCCACTTATGGACACTTTGCCTTTGCCTAGAAGACTGCTTCGCTATTTACAACATGATTATAGTGAGCAATGAGCTCAGCTAAATCTGGTGGTCAATCATTTAACGGAATGGCAGCCATATTTATAACAGAGAACACTCACATGACAGAGAAAGACTGATACCATGGAAGAAAAGTCTTGTGTTCCTATGTAAAACAAAGAAAAGGGGATGCCTGCCAATCAGAAATGGAGCAAGAGCTAATCCAGAAGCATTTAGAGTGAAGAAATCAGGTTAAAGAACAAGTTGGGGGGGGAAGTGCTCTGCTATTGTTCTGAAAAATAGACTTTGAATTTCTCAGCACCTCAATATTACTAGCTATGTAAGAAGGAAAAAGCAGAACATAGACGACAAGTTCACAGAGGGCATCACAGCTTTCTCTGAGCACATATTAGCACAGATTACTGTAGCCAGAATTAGACAACACATTTCTCATTATCATAGGGACATTTTTTACTAGGTGTGATATTCACAGAATTTGTTGACAACTCTATTTGTGATCTATCAAATCACACATTATATGTTTGCATGCTCCAACTCAGGGGCAACACATGTATTTTTACAGCCAAAGATAAGTGATGCAAAAATCTTTTTAAAAATCCACAATAATGGTAACTATTGTTTCTCTTCATTGGTTGGTCAGCCTTTATCTTATTCTAGTTTCCTGAATTAATGCAACTTTCAGGCTGCTATTTCCATCTCAGCAAACACCACCGTGTTTACATTTTCTTCTTCTACTACTGGTAGTTGACTTTGTGGTTGAAATGACCACAGTGCTTCACACAACAATATAATACAAGTAGCTGACTTTATTTCTTAGTCAGTTCAATAAAAGTAAAGTAGAAGTCCTGAGCCTTTTACAGAACAGTATTATATTTGTTTCCACGTAGTTTGTTTGTTTTTTTTTCTAAAAGAAGTGGCTCCTGTGAAGAATTTATGATTCCAATAAAAATAAAACAAAAACCTTATCACATGAGAGATGAAATGAAAATAAATGTTGTAGTCCATCAATTAGAGCATGTCATTAAAGCCAAATTCTATTACAATAGCAGTGAAGGAAGGAAGAGATTCGGGTCTTGCATTGCTTCAGAAAGACTACAGAATAAGAAGTTGCTTGACAACAGTGGCAGTGATTTGCACAACTGCAGACAAGACACTGGATCACCCCTTTGTCCTAACCTAGTAATGAACTGGGAATATTGCTGTTCAGGGTGATGCATAAGCAAGTGCCCCAGTACAGTACTGTATCTCTAACAGTGAATGCCTTATGATTGTTGTGTAGTAATTAGTGCAGTGAAATCATAGTTTGGCTGTGGTACATTTAAACAAGATGTCCATATGACACTAAGTTTTTAAAAGGTAAATTCACTTCCATTGATGCCTGTGATTATTGTTACCATTGAATTCATGTTAAATACTTTCATGAGAAAGTATTACACTTGTGACATCATTTTTTTTACAGCACGTAACTAAATAGATACCTTAGGAATATAAGCATTGCTAATTGGTCCACCTTATATTTAAAAACCTGAGCTTTGATCATGTGCTTTTATTTTAGAAGACTGATAATGACAACAGGCCACATAGTCTAAGCAGGTGTGTCTCCTTACTGTACAGTGGGGTCTTGACTTGAGAACTTAATCCTTATTGGAAGGCGGTTCTCAAGTCAAAAAGTCTGTAGGTCAAGTCTCCATTGACCTACAGTGCATTGAAAACCGATTAATCCCGTAACAGGCCGTTTTTGTTCCATTTTGGTTTTTTTCTGGTCTGTAAGTCAATTCTCAGGCTGCAAGTCAAACCTAAATTTTGCGGCCAGAGAAGTCTGTAACTCAAAAAGTCTGTAAGTCAAGCCGTCTGTAAGTCAAGGGTCCACTGTACCACCGTGTCTTCTCTGCTTAGACCATGGGGTGACAATGGTGTAGTGACAATGGTGTAGAGCTAAGCTATCAGATTCAAACAGAATTACCGGTACATAATATTTATTATATACACAATGATACATCTCAACAGTGAATGGTGAAAATATACAAAATAGACTGTAGAACACTTTGTGGAAAAACCTATCAAAACCTCTTACATTGTAATGCAGTGTTGGGGTACAATAAGGAACACTTTGTACAGTCCTTTTTGAAAATATCCATACACAGTAATATTATCAGGGTTGAATTTTGTGTATAGTTGGTTTTCTTTTAACTTCAAATTTGTTTGGATTCTGGGTGGAGCAATGATAATAATGCTACTAATTATTTAATTTACAATCAAATGTTCAGATCTGAGGAGTCTGATAAGCTCACTTTTAAAATCCAGTGTACCAAAGAAAAATCAGCAGAGAAAAAGCCCTTTCAAGTTTCTTTCCATCATTTACAAATAAGTCACTTCAGTGGTATCTCATAGACAAAGAAGGGGATGCCCCAGTCTCTATGGTTTAGAGAGGCACCCGCCTGCTCGGTTCATAATCTAAGGGTGATCTATTCATGTCCATTAAGTAGCAACAGATGCCATCAGGTGACTGGATCTGCACTGCAAGAAAGGTTAGCACAAACCTCAGAAGCTTCAAGCATAGCAAAGGGGGAAATGATCCATTAGAAAGCTCTCCTAGCAGCCGTGCTTTTGCTCGCTCAGGTTTGTGCCTTTTTACACAATGGGTTTACATTTATCTGCACATAGTGCATGCTACCTCTTACTTGTTTTTCCCCATCCAGTGACCAAAACGTATGTACAGAAATATTTTTATGCACAGGTTAGCTGGGCTAGGTTTGCAAGAGGCTGCTGGATTAAGAAAATAAGACTGCTTCAATACTGTGTTAATGCACTTTCCAATAATCATGTAGCAGTCTACTCTGGGGAAGGACAGGCATGGTAGCAGGTCTATGGCCTTGATGATTCCCTAGATCTGAAAACTGAACATTTTACAAAATTATATCACCAGTTAATACTATGTTTTTATAAAAAGTCAAAACAACTTTATAGAAGTTGTAAATTTGGTAGAATATTTGCAATCTTTCCATCTAGTTAGGGTGCTATAACAAGTTCCAAAGTTATAGCATACAGAATGGTACAATATATTACTGGATAATAATAGAAAATCCCAGTATCATATATGATTTTTTAACGAATAATTGACGAGATTTTCAAAACACTCTAGCATTCTGTGGCCTGATTGATGTATCATTTCCATAGGCATGTGTCCAACCCATCTTATGTGATAATGCATTTGTGAACTTTTGGTTTTGTTACAGCATTTTTTTTTTTTTTTAAAAAGGTATTTTATCAGGAACGGAATGCGCAGTACTACAATCATGTAATATATTTAGGTATTGTTTGCATTCAATTTGAGTAAAAATTGTCACATAAGTAATGATGCTTTTTTTCACACTAATTTAATAATGGTGTGTAGTAAAGAGGGTAGGCGGGGAAGACAAGAGAAAAAAAAGAAGTTCAATTAACTTGTGGAATTTCTGCAATGCAAAGCTTAAGCTTCAAAAGATTACATAACGGTGGGCAACTTTGGCAAGTTTGTGGGTGGGGGAGGCATTTTTCAATTTTCAATACAGATCTGATGTGGCTCCAGAGCTCTGGCATGGGTGAGCTTCATCATTCACTTCACTGCACTGAACTGCCCCACAGGCACAAAGCAATGTATATGTACATCTGCTTCCTCCAGTGAGATAAGCAAGACGATGAAGGCAGGACAAGTTTGTATGAGCAGCCACAAGTGATTACTCCATAAGGTGTCATATCGTTAGAGACTAGAGAACATAGAACAAGAGTCAGAATCACAGTGGGGTATGTTCATTAGTGGTGTACTTTGGAAATTGACTCCTAGTCACTACCCAGCCAACATATGTACAAATTTGAGAGTAGGCAGAATTGCAAAAATAATTCTCCACGTGCCCTGGAGCAGCCTTACAAAGAAGTTCATAGAGGTTACCAATTCACATTTTTACTACCCACATATACCCGCATTAACCATATGGGCAAATTTCCAGTTTTTATTGTAATTTACAAAGGCTTCCCTGCCTGGTCCATTAAAGTAATGCAGACTCACTACCCATAACTGGGACAATGGCTGCTCACGTACCTTTTCTGAAATAATACTTTATAATTGCTTAGCTATGCCATATAATTTCACAAAAATGCACAAAACTATGAAATGTATCATTTTAAACTTTTTTTAGGTACAAAATTTCACACTAGGGCAGTCACTGAGACATGCAGTAGCAAATAAACCTACTGAAAGGAGAACAGTTTGCAAACAGAAATCTTATGATAAAATATCAGTCTGTAGCCACAGTTTAGTTGTTCTGATCCTTTTAAATATGTGGAAGTCTAATTAAGTTCTACATTTCCTGTAGTTGGGTTGAGACATATACATATAAACTATAAAGTCTGATTCTTCTTATTTGCTTTTCCCATAATTAATGTCTAGTAAATGCAAGGAAATGCAAGAAAGCAAAGTGGCTATCTAATGAGGCCTTACGAATAGCAGACAAGAGAAGGGAAACAAAATACAAGGGAGATAGGGAAAGTTACAGAAAACTGAATGCAGACTTCCAAAGAATAGCAAGGAGAGACAAAAGGGCCTTCTTAAATGAAGAGTGCAAAGAAATAGAGAAAAAGTATACAAAGGGAAAAACCAGAGATCGGTTCAAGAAAATTGGAGATGTTAAAGGAACTTTTTGTGCAAAGATGGACATGATAAAGGACAAAAATGGGAGGGACCTCACAGAAGCAAAAGACATCAAGAAGAAGTGGCATGAATACACAAAAGAATTATACCAGAAAAATCTGGATGTCCCGGACAACTCAGATAGTGTGTTTGCTGATGTAGAGCCAGACATCCTGGAGAGTGATGTCAAGTGAGCCTTAGAAAGCATGGCTGAAAACAAGGCCAGTGGAGGTGAAGGCATTCCAGTTGAACTATTTAAAATCTTAAAATGAGGCTATTAAGGTGCTACACTCAATATGCCAGCAAGTTTGGAAAACTCAGCGGTGGCCAGAGGATTGGAAAAGATCAGTCTTCATCCAAATCCCAAAGAAGGGCAGTGCCAAAGAATGCTCCAACTACCATGCACTTGCACTCATTTCACACGCTAGCAAGGTTATCCTACAAGGTAGGCTTCAGCAGTATGTGGACCAAGA